TAAGCTACTACGCCTACTCCTATGCCTTTTCCCTCTTTAATCTTAGAGGCGTCAGAGTAGATTGCTGTAAAGTTGTCTCCTATCCTTGATTGGATATAGGCTGTGTGTGCAGTTGCCTCTTCTTCTTTTGTCTTTCTAGAGATTGTAACCTTGTAGTTAAGACTATCCCATGGCCTAAACCTGTATAGGATTATCTTCTCTATCTCTTTATTATAGGTAGTTGGGATTAAGTTAGTAATCTAGAGTAACTGTCTACGTTGTTCTGGCTTTTTAGTTTGCTAGGGGTCTGTTGCTTAAAGCCTAGCAATAGCTATTGCGATTAGGTGGGTTTTAGCTAGCTAAGCTGCTCTTGTTGCGTAGTTTCTTAGCGTAGCGTTTAGCCGTATCGCTGGTGATAGCAGGCTTGCTTCAACACTTGCAGGTATTGATGGAGCGGTTCTAAAGACTCCTAGCACCTTTCTACACGCGAGATTGTGGAGTGGTTGGAGTAGCTTTGTTGCGTAGCTTTGTGAGTGCCAGTATACTGGTGTTCCGTAGTCTGCAACGCTAGTAACGCACGCAGGGAATATGTATTAGATTATGTATATGTAGGATGTGGGATGGATCGAAGATCAGGAAGAAGAAGAAGAAGATGAAGAAAAAAAATTAAAGGAGATTATATTGCTAGTATGTCACTCTATCATTCTGTTTGCTGTCTTTCGTTTGCTTGTCTCCTGTTCTTTTTTTGTTTTTTCGTCGCCAGATTTTCTAGTTTCGACCTTTCTTGCTGAGATGAGTGTGCTGCTGCATTCGACACTTATGGCACATTACACAGCTCACCATATCATACCACACCACAGCCCAGACCAGCCCAGTACAGCCCAGTCTATTATGCCTCTGCCACATCAAATCATTCATTTTCTTTCTCATCTTCTCTTATTCTTCTCTTTTCTCCTCCCATTTCCTCATCTTCGTTTCCATCTAATCCATGCATTGCTTTCACATACTCCCATACATCCTTCTGTACTCACCAGGGCACACCCACCTACTTCACCCTCAGCACAACAACCGAATTAACGACTTTTGTCCACGGATGCACTTCAGCCAGGACTTCGAGGCCGAGAGCTTGCAGGTCTTCGGAGAGAGTGAGGATCTGTGGTTGTAGGGGGGAGAGAGAGTTAGCTTGGGTAAGTGGGTACTGCCATTTACATGCATATGGACTGGTTGAAGGCAACGCAGGAAAGATAGTAGAGGAGAGGGGAGCGGAGTGGAAGAGCGGGGGAAAATAGTGATGAGAAAAGTCGAGGAAACAAGGAAGAAGGAAAAGAAAAAGAGGGGGGGGGGATATACTAACCGGATACAAAACCCCTCTAACCCCCCACGCACTCCTAACCACCACCAGCGTCCCCTTTCTCAACTTGCCCACTACATCCCTCAGAATCCCCAGCTTAGTCTGCGTATCCATTCCTACAAGCGCCGCCAAAAAAACCACTTGGGCTTGCGTCCACTTCGCTCCCACCCCTACCACATTACCACCATCTTGCCCCTCTACTTCCAGCGATACATCCTCCCGCTCAAACTTCATGCGAGCCGCAACCCCCAGTTTCGTGCATAACGCACTGCTGAGGGCCAGCGCCGTCGCATCGCGATCTACATTGTGCAGCGTGGCGTATGGGTAGCGCGACAGGAAGCAGAGAGATGTCAGTGGTAGCGGGCCTGAGCCGAGGAAAGCGATGGAAGTCGGTGGGGTATCGATGAAGGAGTTTATGATTGAGGCTTCGAGACGCGAAAGATCGATGTAGTTGGTGTAGTAAGGGAAGGTTTGGAGGATTGTTGTTGCGGGGGTGTGGGGGTTTGTGTCTGGTGGTTTTGTGTTAGTGGGACTGTTCTTCTTCGTCTTCTTCTTCTTGTGCCTTTGTGCTGTTGTTCCCTTGGACGCTTTTTCTTCTTCTTCTTCTTCTTCTTCTTCTTTTTTGCCCTCTTCCTGTTCTTCTTATCCTTCTTTTTCCAAGTATAGACGAGTGGAATACAGGAACAAACGCAGCGTTATCTGTACATATAAAAACAACAACGCACCCAGTTCGTCAATCATACGCTGCGCCCAGTGCTTCTCCAGCTCGCCCTCAGCAGCCGAACAAATCGGTCGCAGTTTCTCGCACAGCACCTCGACGCCGCTGATCTGGAAGAAGCGCGTCGTAAAGTCCACGCTGTAGGGCACCACGCACAGGTCGACGAGGCGGGTAAGCAGGGCATTGATTCTGGGTGCGGGAGCCAGCGACGTCAGCTCACAGAGGGCGTCGTGGATGTCTCGGATTTCAGATACCAGCTGGTGGGCTGCTGTGCTGGTGGCATTAGGAGTGCCCGGAGGGGTAACTGTGGTCAGGGTCTTGACAGGAGTGGTGGGCGGCTTGGAGAGGTCGGGAGTGGGTGTTTGTGTGGTGGTGGTTGCCATGTTGAATTTGTCCCAGCAAGGTCCCTCACTCAGTGCTTGTTTTCTGGTAATTATATGATAGAAGCGGGGTGAAGCATCACTCTGCTTGTTTGACAGCAGCTTTATGGCTCTATACTAGGCATCACCTATTGGTTGACATGTAGGCGTAGACTAGGAAAACTCTTTACGCCTTAGCACACACGCTCAAGGCACAAGCGGTAATAAGCATCGTCTGGTTGGCTGGATACATGTGAGCACCATGTTGGTTATGTGGGATGGTTAGTCTATGCTAGGGAAAAGCCCGCCTGTCTTGCGGCATCTATGCTCAATCCAGTACAAACATGTGGGGGGGATGTCATGCCGGTGAACACACGTGTCTGTGCCAGAACTGTTCCATTTCAGCCTCGTAATAGGGCGTCGAATCATCGGCTGAAGCCGGACGACAGGGAGCAGATCAAAATTCTCCTTGTGCTTCTAGAGCAGGACTAGAAGATGCGGAGATTTCGCCGATGGCCGCCAGAACCGCCAGAACCGCCGTAGCAGTGCAAAACATCGGAGAAGCCTGGCAGGCTGTTACTAGGCGTGGAGTTCGGATGGATTCGGGGGCGGAGGTATTCCCTCTTGATGTCTCTACCGAGGACCATGCCCACTGCCCGGTCTTTGATAGACTCGCTTGCCACCAACCCACGTCTCTCTTACTGTTGCCTTTCGTAATGAATCAAAATCCATGGCCTCTAATTGCTCGTCGAAGACAATCCAGTCCGCGTAAGCCCCAGCTTGGATGACTCCAGCTTTGCCTTGGAGGAACGCGGCGTGTGCAGGGTTTCCAGTGAAGCCCTCCAGTGCCTGCTCAAAGCTGAGAGTCTCTTCGGGATACCAGCCGTGCTTCTGGCCATTGGGATCCAAGCCAGTCAGCGGACTGCGCCGTGTGGTGGCCGCGTACATGCCCTCGAAAATGTTGGCGGGCTCCACTGGAAAATCGCTGCCAAGAACGGGCCGAAGGGGGACGAGCGACCGCATGCGGTAGGCTTCGTCTCTTGTGCGTTGTTTTCCCAGTCTGCTCTCTGCGTATCCCATATCAGAGGTAGCATGTGTAGGCTGAATCGAGGGGATGATGCCCAAGAGTGACATTCTTCGCTGGTCATGTGGGTGAATGATTTGGGCATGTTCAATCCGAAAGCGGCGGTGTGACTGACATTCGTGGGGGCTAGTGTGGGGGCACAGCTCTGTCAGGGCGGCTTCAAATGCATCAATAGCCAGCCTATTCGCAAGGTCTCCTATTGCGTGAATGTTGACTTGATATCCCGCCTGCGCCCAATCCCGCGTGACTTGTGACAAGGTAGTTGCGTTGACAAGCAGGGAGCCCGAAGAAGTCGGTTTGTCACTGTAGGGCTCAATCATGGCACTTCCCCAGCTGCCCAACGCCCCATCTTACTGCGTCAGTTTTGCTCTAATAGGTAGCTAGAGGCACATACCTGCGAAAAGCTTCACACTCTTCACCTGCAACTTGCCGTTGGGCGTACTCGTCTTCTTCACTGCCTCCGGGCAGAAGGTGTTTCTAACGTCACATTCAATCATGGCGTTGACCCGGACAGTCCAGTCGTCGTCGTTGGCGAGTTCTTCGTACAGCTTGAGATCCCCAGGCGTCACTCCAGCGTCGTGCATTCCTACGATACCGTACTGGTTCAAGCCGGCCATGGCAGCCTTGATGAACTTGGTTTGCTGTGCTCTGTTGGGCTTGGGGTAATGCTCCAGAACAATGTCCATGGCATTATCGCAAAACACACCCTTGGCAGGGACCTCGCCTCCAGGAACGTCGGGAATGGGTGACGGGAGAAGATCAAGCACCTTTTGGGAAACCCAGATGCAGTGAAAGTCGACTCGATCCAACATAATGAAGAGGTCCTGGAAGTTTTGGGATATTTCCAGATCCGACTGGGCCAGTGTTAGGATTCCCTCTACTCTCCATGGAAATGACGATACATACAGAAGTCGGCCAGCGTCCTCCATAGTGTGCCTGGTCCCAGCCGGCTCCTCGCAGCCACTCATCGCTCGCCCCCTTCTCGGGGCGGTCCGTCTTGTAATCGAGCAGTCGTTTCTGAACTTGATCCATCGAACTGGCACCGAACAAGCTAACCGAGTCCAGAGACTCGCCATACTGTTTCAGATGGCCATGTCCGTCCCATAGGCCTGGATACACATAGCCAGTACGCGCATCCTTGGCCTCGGCGGGTGCATCATCGACAAAGACGCGGGAAAAGTGGCCACTGCTGACTGTAAAACAGTGGGCCTGGGCAAGTATCGAGGACAGCGTCCTGACGGCTTTGTAGCAATGCGTGGTGGAATTGGATGTCCAGGGGAGGCGGTGCTCGACGAAAGCCGGCAGGCCAAGCTGGTAGACTAGTGCCGCCAGCAGTACCGGCAACGACAGCCAGAAGGCGGCGGTTATGGAGGGCATTGCGTGTGCGTGGTGCCAATGCCGGCTGGGGATGGGCTCTGGTCGAGTGCGGAGAGGGAGAAGCAGACGGGTGTGAATGGCACGATAAGCGAGCACCAATGATGTGGAGGCGGCCAGGACAGTCTCCGGTCGCCGTGATGGTCTACGAGGCCTTTTCCTCGCGTCTCGCCCATGGTTCCGACGGTCTAGAAACGCTGTCAGCGTCGTGGGCACTGTGCAACGGGCGACGTGGAGCCATGACAAGCCTTGCGATGCGCGGCGGCGGACAAGACTCGCGCCTGTGCAAGGCTTGGCGCATACCTCAACGTCGCCACCTTCACCGGTTTTCGACGCCTGGAGGGGCTGTGTACAAGTTGCCCATGGATGCCACCGCGCCGCCAAATCGGCTGGGCTCGTCTTGAGGCGGATTTCTTGATGCGATCAAGCTGCGCTCGAGGGCTGGCACGCTGGCGAATCGGAAAGGGCGGTGAGTGGCGGCATCGACTTTGGGCAGAGGCCAAGCGTCGTGCATATCGACACAATTCCCATCCACCCGCTCGCTTTGGGTCAGCGGCCCCTCTTCTGGCCACTCTCGATGCATCTGCTCCACCTTGGCCCAAACCGGGATTGGACGAGCGATGTCGACCGCTTGTATGGGAGGCTGGGCCTGCTGCAAGGCCGGGGTGGGGGCTAAAAGAAAGCAGAGGAATCTCTCCTGGGCGACATAATCGGACAGCTCGACAACTTCCACCTCGATCGCTTCATCTCGACAGCTTCACCTCAGCGTGATTTCGACAGCTTGCCGCCTCGGGGCCGAGCAGAGCAGTGCGGGGGCGAGAAATGGCCGCCTCTGAGCTGGATGAGCTGAAAAGGCAGCTCGAGTCGCTCCAGCGGTCACATGACGCCCTCCTGAACAGCCTGTCCGCGACCAATGACATCTTCAGGCCGTCCGAAGCTTCACAGCTCCGCCGCGCCTCTACCCGGCAAGGCGTCGATGCCATCTTTGCCGACACGTCGACCCTCTCCGACGACAGCGACAATGAGGAAGACGACTTTTACGTCCAGAGCGAGCTGCCCTCGCGTTCCTTTGACCATGAGCATCTGCGCGACCATCTCAAGAACCATTCCTGGACCGCGCACGGAAGAGAGATCCTGTCGACCATCCTCGCGGACCCCGTCAAGCTCTCCAAACAGCCCCACTTGTTCCATATGGGATCGGGCCCGACAGACGACCGGAGCCATTACTCGCACTTCCAGGTCTACAATGTTGGTCCCAACGGCGTGCCCAAGCTAGTCGAGGCTACCAGTCCCGACAATGACATGTCCAACGCTACCCAGATATGGGCATCGCTGAGGGACATTTGCAAAGAAAAGGATGAGGTGGTAGCCGGCCGCATCACCATTGCCCGCGAGCCTTCGCCCATTTTGTTCGGCGCCCTGCATCTGACGCTGCATGACGCATTCGACATGGATGAGCTTTTCGAGCACTTGGTCGAGACCGAGGCCAGCTCGGCACACATGTTCCGGTCCTTTGACGAGGACCCCAAGCACCGAAGGTCTTTCTTCTTCAACTTTGAGTACTATACCATCATCGGCGACGAGTGTAAGCCAATGCAATGGCAGCTCGCTGACAAGGGCTCTAACGGTACCAACCACCACGTGCCCTTGGCGCGATGTAGCGCTGTTGTTGCACTAGTCCTTTATGACGAGAATCCCCGCCGCGTCCGCAATAGGGGAAGACGTGCTAGGACTCAATTTGGCTGGGTGCACGATGTTTGGAGTCCTTGGCAGGTGCTCCAGCTCGAATGCTTCCCTGACTGGAAATCAGCACCAGCAAACGGAACGCCCTATACCTTTGAGACTGGCCACAAATTCCTCAATGGCGCAGAGGCTTTCCTGCATGCTCTTTTGACAGAGTACCGAGACGCCCGCAAAAGATACGACGAGATCTACCTCAAAATAACAAAACTTGTCACCCCACCCCTTGACTTTCTCTTCGACGAGGAAATGCGGAAAGCTCGTCTATTCGAGGACAAGGAGATGACTTTTACGAGACGCTATTTCTACGCCCACCAGACGCTGGGCAATGTCAATGACAGCATCAAGTCTATGATTGACGCTTTTGAAGATACTTTTACCGATGATATCTGGGACGGCACGAACAAGACACTGTGGCCACTATTCGAAGAGTCGCTGCGAAACGAACATTGGAAGCGCCGGCTACGCGTGTTGAGGATGCAGTTTGAGCGGGAAATGAAAGAGCTTCGCACCATCATCGCCGAGAACAACGAAAGACGACATGAAATTGAGACGCTACAGGACCAGCTGTTCTCGGGCACCAGCATCCAAGAATCGAGAAAGTCTGTCGAGTTAGCAGACATCACGGTGCACCAAGGCTACAACATCAAAGTACTTACCATTGTCAACCTCTTCTTCATGGTAAGCTTATACCCGCTCCAGCTGAGACATCGCTAACTCGATACCAGCCTCTCACGTTCGTGACATCCGTCTACGGCATGAGCAACATGAACCAACAAGCGGGTTTCACCAGCTTCATGATTACCACTCTCTGCGTGTGCATTCCCTTCTTCGCCTTTGTCGGCTTCATCAATTCGCGCTGGGGCTACGAGATGTGGATGAAGAAGACGCGGGCACTATGGCGCTGGCTGCGCCCGAAAAAGAAAGACAAGCAGAAACTGCACGACGACGACAGCGACGGCATCGAGCCGCCCCCCGGTCGCGTCAATCGCACCCTATCCACCGAGGAAGCCATGCGCGCGAGAATCGGCAGAGCAAATATGCCCCCAAGAAGACGCTCCACGCAGGTTCCGGCCCCCAGCCACCCGCACATTCAGCAGATGCTGGCAAAGACCAAGGAACGACGACAGAGCGGCTTGTCGCGCATGAAAACGCTGCCTGATGAAGAAACTTTGGATGGCGAAAAGGAAATGCGTGCGATGAGGGGTGGTGATGCTGTTATTGAAATCAGGGAACCATAAATGGCTTGCCATGGGCTTGATGGATTTTCTTTTTCTTCCTTATATATTAGACATGATTGTAAACGTGTTCACGCATGACGACAACGATGATGATGATGATGAGAATGATTCAATTATTTATCCTAGATACTATGTATACCGAGTTGGTTATATAGAGAAATATTCTTTCTATGGGGAATCGGGAAGTTTGGTAAACTCCTGACTCAGAATTCGATAGTGTGGATACAGTACATTGGCGTGCCGTCCCGTGTTCCCCCCCCCCCCCCCACCCAGTCAAACAAGAGAATTCCAAGCAAAAAGCTTGTGTCATGTCAGTTGCCAGTGCCAGTGCCAACCAGTGTACATGTAAGTATCTCTCATACTCCACATTCCCATCCACACCCACAAACTCTCTCCTTCTCTCCACATTCCGCACAATACATGATTCATGAGCCGCAGCAGCGATCCCTATGGGCCCCCTCAAATCGCAAATTCCCATACCGGCCCACCGGGAATTATTTGACCACCTTCCCCGCAGTTTCCTTCTCTTTTTTTTTCAGAAAGTTTAATCCTGTTGTACTTAATCGTGCTGTGCCGTTTTCCGCCCCGTGTGTGTTATTACAGGACCGTTGGGGCGATAAGATGGTAGGACGCATGAATATGCAGACAGGATTTTTGATTGTAAGGACTGGGGGCTGGGTATGGGTCTGTGGGGGGTATATGGCGAGATGAGTCGGGGGGTGGTTTTTTTGAGTTTTTGTGCAGTGTAGATCAGTGGTTCTGCAATGCAGTGTGATGCGGGGGTGGGGGGCTTGGCTTTGAGGGGGCTGTCTGTCTCTCTCTCTCTCTCTTTGTGTGTATATGTCTTAGCACTGAAATATGGGAAATATTATATTCATCCCCTAACTAAGCTGAGCCGTGCCTTATAACAAGCTCATCCGTTTTTTTTCTTACAAGATAATATTGTGGCCACAGAGTTTACTCAGACATGAGAATTTCGAAAAAAAGAGTGATTGACTGAGGTGGTTGGCTAGATCGGTGCTGGAGGGCAGGCTGGCCCGGTACTGAGATCATGGATGACTAATTCACTCTATGTCAAATCTGCTGGGAAGTTGGCGAGCAGGCGATGGAAAATATTAATTAGCACTGATGGTGGATGAAACGGAGGGAGGTAAAGTGTGTTGCATTCACAGGAACGTAAGTGACCAAGGGGGTTCTAGTGTTAGTGCTAAGTAAATAAGTACTGTGGAAAAAAAAGGCGCATTTCATCACTTGACACAAAAGCACACAATCTCATATCCGTACTGTACTGTATTCTCATTGAGTGTGTGAAAAGTTAAAAGCACCCATATCTTTCTATACACGAAATTCATGCCGCGACATACGTACTGCTGCTTTAAAGATACTACTGCGTATACACACACACACACACACAGTGCAGAACAGTACAGTACAGTACAGTAGTATACACTCCCACCCAGCGCTTCAGACATTGGTTGATCGTGAGTAGGGCTATATAACACGTAATAATATTCTTCACATGTCTCGATTCGTGCATATTCATGTATAACTTCACTCTATGTATGTATGTATGTCTGTATGTATGTACACAGCCACCTCTTTTACCTCCCCTAGAACGGCGCCCCTCCCCTCACTTTGCGGCATCCCGTCCGTCCCCCTCCATCTCGCTCTCTCCCGTGTTTTCGAGACAACAGCCATTTCTGTCTGCTACACGGCGCGCGCCAGAGGGCTATTTATCCATCCATCCAGACGAGACGAGACTGGAAGATACGGTGGTATTACATACCGTGATTCGTACCGTGATTCTCCCCGTGATTCCCCCCGAGATATACTTAACAATAAGCACACACACACACAATGGGCTTCGCCTGCTTGCCAGTCGGCCTGCCTTTCCTACTTGCGCACAGCGGAGTAGCTGATTCTTACTGCTGATGCCCAAGCACAAGCGAAGCTGATAACATCGCAAGGCAAAGCAAGCGAAGCAACCCGGCTTTACTTACACGGTCCAGTGGCGTCGCAAGCGAAGGGGGTAGCGGAAGCATGTATGCGAGAGATTAGGGTATTATGTTACTAGAAGCGAGACATTGCACGTGTATGTCTGTGTCTCGGGCTTGATCGTTGGTTTTCAATGCGCGGCTTGTACGTGGAGCGGGAACGGAGAGGGGAGGGGGGGAGCGGACATGCGCTTGCGTGCATCGGGTAGTCGACTCCGTTCTTCGCAAACTTTGTTTTCAAGAGATCGGCGCCGCATCGTTGATTTGGTTCCTTGCACGGGAGTACGCGAACATCGGGGTTATGGCTATGGGTCGCGCCGGCGGTGTGTATGTAATAGTGCTGAGGGCTCGGAATTAGAATCGTTTTGGTTTACGGGTAAGGCGTTAGAGGCGTCGTGCATGTGGTAGGAGTAAACTTTGACTTGCTGGAGCGTGCATGCTGGATTATGGACGTGCGGAGAGGGGTGTGACGTGGAGGAGGGAGGGAGGGGGGAGAGGTGGTTTAGTTACGAGATGAGATTCAAGGAGAATATTTTTGGCTTGTGGCAATGGTGGTTTCTCTATATCAACCCTGCTATAATAAGACATTAGTCGCCACCACTGTTATGCACAATGTGCATGATATATACAGTGCATCTATACTAGGAATGTCTTGCGTTCGCCGTCCCTACATACAAGACAAGATGGCTTCAGAGTAGAATAATCTTGTCTTGAATTATTCAATAAATTACCATATTAACGAAAGCTACGTGAAAAAGAATCGTTCATCTAGGAAGAAAAAAAAGGGGGTATCTGTCCACTGTATATATATGCCCAATCACTGTTTAGCATACCTGCATGAATGGATGAGTAAAAGAAAAACGTCAATACGTCTACAAAGGAAAAAATTTTCACCTTCAAACAAAAGTTCCTACGTAAGAAAATGCACGGTCATAATCGCAAGCTTGAACAAAAGGAGTAACAGACAGAAGGAAAAAAAAAGATCAAACATTACCGAGCATGCTGTATCCCATTTCCACGCCGGCTTTCAATGTGTGGACTCGACCAATCAATCTGAGGCTCTTTGAACCCCTTTGGGCTGTGCCCCACTCCTCCGCTATCAGACCGACTGCGATTGCTACTGCTGCCCTCGCCATAGTGCGCTATGGCAGAACCGCGAGGAGGCCCTGCTTCACTAATTCTGACCTCGACATCCGTGCTCTTCATGATACCGTGCATCTTAACGTCTTGGTCGTCTAGAATCGCTCGGTCGCTCTCGTCATCCTCGTCCAGCACGCTTTCGCCCCGAATGCGTGAGTGGTACGCTTTGCTGCCTTGAAAATTGTTCATTTGGATGCTATTCCCAGCAGCAGCGCCGCCAGTGCTGTAGTCGTATTGCGGCGTTTTTCCTGAGCCAGTGAGGGTGGACGGGAGGAGCTTGCGGAGAAACTTGTCCATGGCTTTGCGTAGCGGCGGGAGCGACGCAATAAGGATGCCGAGGGAGAGTTCGGAGGCCGACCAGATTGTTAGTGGAACGCCATCCCAAGTGGGGTCTTTTGTGGAGGTCAAAGTCTTTAGCTCAACGGTTTTGAAAATAGAGCAGATTGTTGCACTGGGCTAGTTAGTATTTGTTCATCTTGGGTGTCTGCAGAGGGAAGACGTACGGGATACTGAGGAGGAAAACGGCTCGGATTCCCCATTGAGTTCGCCGTGAGATTTGGATGCGCGAGAGGTAGATGAGTGGTGCTGCCATGTATACAACATCGGTAAGGATGTTGCTGATGCCCTGAGTGTAGGACAGTTGAATAGAGCTCTTGGCCCAACAGTGACTTTTCCCTTTATACAGAATATTCCAGTTTCGCTCGAACGGGGTACAGCCAAAGAGTGTCAGGACGGGGGCCAGGAAGTTGAGCGCTGTCACCATGAGGATGGACAGCCAAATGACGGCTTGATAGACTCTAGAAAAGTTGAGTACGAGGAGCCAGGCGCAGATGGCCCATTTTAGAAAGGCCATGGCGATAATGTCTGCACTGACTGTCAGCTTTCAAGTTCAGGTTGGCTGATACCAGACATACTGAGCACCTGGGTAATCCATAGGTAATAGACGTAAGTCATAATGTTGGGAAGGACGGTAGGGTCTTGGATATGTCGACCAAGGCCATTGTCCACGACTATCTGCGCGACAGTGATTGCTGCGATGTTCAAGATCTGGCCCGAATCATGTCAGTGTTCTGGAGTACATCCTGGCTGTAGGGTGCAAGGGCGCAGTGCTCACAGCGGCGATGATCAGCAGATAATCACTGAGCATGAATCTGCGTCGTTGGGCAAACCCATAGGCAATTCTCCAGGCGAGGAAGATGGTACTGAGGGCCAGAAGCGTCCACATGGGAATCATGACCTTCAATCGCTGATTGGGCCATTCTTGCGTGTTGTCTGCGTTCATGCTCTGCGGTGTTGGAGTTTACCAAGTAAGCAGGAAGAAGATGAGAAAAAGCAACCGACCACTCAATATGGGTGGTAAGCGTAGGGGTTTTGTCAAGTATGGATTGGAAACGCCACACATTTGGTAGCCTGGCCACACAGCGTGTGCTGAAGCAGAGCGATAGTCGAACAGACAGCACGGTTGCGCATAGTGCAAAAGAGCCAGAGTGATCATGGAAGGTGCGCTCGCTCCGGACACGATTTCGAAACGTCCCGGCTCAGGTCTTGGGTATGCATGCTTCTACCACGGCCAGTAAGCTAGCCAGGCCGCGCAGGTGCATAAATTGGGGCCCCACAGGCTCAAGGCATTCCGATTGGCGACGAGTCTACAGCGGTTGGGGTCCCTGAATCGACAGACGACATGCTACATGGCCAGGCCGTGAAGTGGAGGGCGGACGCGGCGGAGGAGGGCGGAGGATGGCGGCGTATGGGTGGAATGACATTTGACAGAGACAGAGCCCGTCGTAGGCCAGCCGACTCGTGGATGCTGATCTGGGATCGGCGACAATGGTGCAACATGGTGTTTCGTTAGACTACTGCAGTGCTGGCGTAAAGCACGACGTCAAGCTCGAGCGCGAGGGTCGTGGTCAGTTCTCCGTCTTTGCGGCAGTCTGTCCAATGACGCCGTGGTGAGATGAGTTGGGCGATACGATGTGCTCGGCCCATGCGGCGCTAGTTTGGGCCTAGCGCCCTTAGCGCGCGGCCAGGGTTTCTCCGCAAGCGACGCCGCCACCCTGTGCCCTGCGCCTCTTTGCCTCCCCAGTCCTTCCCTTGCCCAGCTGAATCCTTTCCCACCCTGCAGGGAACGCCGCTGCATCATTGCTTTTCTCTCTCTCCAACGACGCCAACCCACCGTGTCATGACGGACCAAACATGTTTGAGCGCAAGAGGAGGACGCAGCAGCACGAGAAACCACCTGGCCATGTCCTCGCCATGCCCTAGCATCAGCGGGCGGCAATACCCAGCATTCCCCGAGGCTAGCAAAGCCTAAAACTCTGGGTGCAGGGAACACGGTGCGGCAGAAATGGGCTCACGCGGTCCACGGCCGTCATACGCCGCCTCCTACCATGGGCTTGTATATCGACAATGCCGATACAATACCGAAGCCGCCCTCCAATTTCGGCCAAGGTCCTTTTCGCCCTGTTATGCGGGCGCGGAACATGCTCTTGGTTTGTACAAGACGCGGCATATGCCACGTTTGCTTATGTCGCCAAGCTCTTCTTCGCGGAGGGACACCCCGACTGCCACTGCCGTGCGGACGAGCAAGCTGAGCGGGCGGGAGGGGGCGGGCAGCACGAGTCGTTGATCTACACAAGGCCTCCCCTTCCCCGGGGGCGAACAGGAGATGGAACCTGAAATGGCGCGCCAACACCGAAATCACGGTACTGCTAGGAGATCGTACATTAGCGAATGGGGCCTTGGGATTTGCGCCTGGCCTGCAGCGCTGCATGAACAGGGGCATTGTAGCTACACGCAAATCCAGGGACCGCCGCGGACTCGCAATGCTCCGCCAGAAATCTCCGACAAAGACAACTCGCTTGGCTGGTGCCCAAAACATTTCCCGGCGCACATTTGGACGCCTCTGCCGTTCCTGCGGGCCCTTCACCTGTAGCTCAAGCTCAATCACATAATCGTTCCGCGTCGACGATGCCCCCCTCCATCGTCCCGTGTAAAAGTGGAGTGCGGCGCATCGCTTAGGGTGCTGACGATCCATGACACGTGCAGCCGGCTTGGTCCTCCGCCAGCAGCCTTGTAGCACTGCAGTATACATTACAAGTACGGAGGTGACTGTCAAAAGTTCTTGCTGACAGGGGTGCATTGATTACCGCCGAAAATAGGGCCAAAGCTATGTAGATTAGTCCCGCCGCCCCTCTTTATATTTATTGCTACTTTTAAGTTTAATAATTTTTTAAATATAAAATAAAATATGCTTTATTTAAGCTTAAATTTAGTATTAAAGTAGCTTATCTTAGTACTATTACTATACTTTTATTCTTTTTACCTAACTTTTTAGTGCGCCTTTTTATATTATTTTTCTTTTAAGCTATAGCTAGGCTAGTTTAATAGCATTGAAATTAAGTAAATTACCTAGCTATAGAAGCTACTCTACTTTAGCGTTTTAGTATATAGTTCTTTAAGCGTAGTAAGTATATAAAAGTACGTTATCTTCTTACATAAAGATATATGGTTTTTCTATTTAGTACGCTTTTATAAAGAGAATTACCTTTAAGATAAGAACTTAAGTTTAGTAATACTACTAATTAATGCTACTATAACTACTCTTGTAAGCTAGCTTAACTATTTATCTTTTCTATTTATCTTTATTCTTAAACTCTATTAAGCTTATTATGTAATTTAAGCCTTTTTATATTTATTATAAGCTTTTACGCCTCTCTTATAACAGGCTTTAAAGCCTTATTTAACTTTTTAATTTAAAAAGTAGTATCTTTTTTTTATATAGTTTTAGGCCTTTAGATATAGTAAAGACTTTTATAGTTATATATAAAGTAGTTTTGAAATATAAATTTAAAGTAGCCCTTTTACTACTTTTAGATAATACTTTTAGTAAAGACTTTATTTAGGTATTACAATATATAACAGCTACTATCATAGTAGTTAAGAATAATAGAAGTTTTATTTAACTAAATAACATGTTTTTAATCTTTAAGTATTTTATTTTTCTAAGTAAGATACTACTTAAGTTTTTTTTTATTTTATCTTTATTTTCAACTTAGGCTTTCTTATTAGCTTTATTTTATTATAACTGGCTACTTAAAAAACCTTCTATATAGTAGATAATAAGATATTATAGCTATCAATACTAAGATTACTAGTAATATTAGTATAGCTTTTTTCTCTTCTATACTTATTATAGTATATATTCTTCAGAGTATCGTTATATATTTTTTCTTATTTATAAGAGTAGCCTATGCGTAAGGTATTTTTAAAGTACTATAAAAAGATTTTAACAAGGCATACGTTAGGCTTAAAGCCTTATTAGTAGGCTTTACTATAAATTAAGTTAATTATATATAGTAATATACTTATTATTTCTATAATTTTATATATAAACTTACTACTAAAAAGTAACTCATATAATAATAAAAGAGTAAGTTAATATATCTATATTTAGAGCTATAGTAGATTAAAAACACTTAAAAAAATAAGTATATAAGCTATTGCTAGCTTTAAAAAATAAGTATAGGCGCTAAGAATAGTTAGGCTAATAGGCTAGCGTCTTAGCGTGGCGCTAGCAAGAACTTTTGACAGTCACCTCCGTACGAGGATAACGGTATGTGCTGGGCAGACTAATCTTGATCCACGTCCCGCCTACTAGGTAGTAATCGATTGACTGAAATAACTGCAAATTGCATTACAAATTTTTTTTCTCCGCCGTGGGAAACCACATCGTCTATGGCCCGGCCCCGGAACGCCGCCCCACCCGTCCCTGATGTTTAGCAAGCAACAGAGTCAGGGCGTAGCAGGCATATGCTCTCCATGTGCTCTGTGCTAGACCAAAGGACTCTACAAGTCGGCTCGATTCCAAACGATTTAGCCCAGTTTGGGTTTTCTAGAACAAAAGGGCAAAGGAATCTGAACCTGCCGCGCCACAGGCATACCAATAGCGCTACTACTGGGCGCCTATCCACACTTGGGGGCCGTCCGTGGTGTGGGCCACGCAAATCTCCTCCCGCTTCCTTAGCATGGTCACGCCACATGCATACCCCGATACTCATTGTTTGAGCGGAGGAGCGTTCTCCTCGTGGCGTTTGTGGGCCACTCATGTCTTTTTTGTTCAGATTCGGAATGCTCTCACCGGTTTAATGACTCCGCACGTGGCGAGCATGTTGTCGACCAGTCTGAGGGGGCGAGGGAAATTGTTCGGACCGTATAAAGCCTCTAGTGGGTGCACTTTTTCCAGAAAGTCGCTGCAGGCGCCACAGAATTTTACTTTGGTATACAAACTCAATACACAAGTCTCAAGATGGCTGCATTCTCCCGATTGGCAGCAGCCGCTCAGCTGGTTGCTGTTTTATTCTCACCGGTTCTTGGCGCGGCTACCGAAAAGCCCTATGACTATGTCATTGTAGGTGGTGGTGTTACTGGATTGGTTGTGGCCAACCGTCTTAGCGAAGACAGGTGCAGTATGTATTCCAGAAGATCGTGGTAGTGAAACAGCGGCTGACCCAGCAACCAGAGACTGTCCTCGTCATTGAGGCAGGCGACAATGTCGATACCCCCAACACCAGGATCCCCTGGAAGGCCAATGATCTCACCGCAGCCAACGGGCTCATGTGGGAGAATATCAATTCCATGCCTGAGCCGGGTCTCGGCAATACATCGTATCCTGTCGTTGTTGCAAAGGTTCTAGGCGGTGGCTCGGTCATTAATGGTATGATATACGACCGCGGTTCGGCCGCTGATTACGATACCTGGGCCGCTCTAGGCAACAAAGGATGGGGCTGGGAAGACATGCTTCCTTACTTCATCAAGGGCACTACATTCCAGCCCCCTACACCTGCTGTTGCCGAGTCATTCAACATCACGTGGGATCCTGCCGTATACGGCCGTGGCCCCCTCACCGTATCCATCACTTCCAACCAGTACGAGGATATCAAGAGCTACTGGGCGGCATGGAAGGCTACTGGTATCTACGCTCCTGAGGATGGTAACGCTGGTGAAGCCCATGGCCCCTCGTGGTACGCCAACACCATGGATGCGAGAACCGGACGTCGCGCCCATGCGCGTTACGCATACTACGACCCCATCCAGTCACGTCCCAACCTGCACATCCTTACGGGCACCACGGTCAACAAAGTCCTCTTTGATGGCAGGAAGAAGCCCATGGCCACGGGTGTTGAGGTGACCGACAAGACGGGAAGGACTACTACTTTCTGCGCCTCCAAGGAAGTTGTGCTTGCAGCTGGTGCCATTCAGACCCCCAAGCTCCTCCAGCTCAGCGGCGTTGGTCCCAGGGCTGTCCTGGAAGCAGCGGGCATCAAGACCAAAGTCGAGCTTGACGCTGTCGGGTCTAACTTCCAGGACCACCCTTGGGCGACTATTATTTTCAACACGACTTCAAATTACTTCCCAGCCCTCACCTCGATCAACACCAACGCTACTTTCAACGCTTCTGCTTGGAAGCAGTACGAAGCCAACAAGACTGGGCCGTACACGTATGCTCGCGGCAACTCAGTTGCCTTTATCTCGCTGCCCGACATGACCAACAACAGCCAGGCGCTCATTGACGCTTTGAACAGGCAGACTGCCACCGACTACCTTCCCAGCATCTACAAGACTAACAAGAAGCTCGCCGCGGGCTATGCCAAGCAGCGCAAGCTTATTGCCGACATTTTTAGCCGCAAGGATGCTGCTGTGGCCGAGTTCCCTGTCCCCGCCGATGGCAGCTTTGGCCTCATTGGTGTGGAGAAGCCGCTCTCACGTGGCACCATCCACATCAATGCCAAGAACCCCAACGGACCTCCGGATGTGTCGTACAACGCCTTTGTCAATCCGATTGACAAGCAGATCCTGTCGATCGGATTGCGCTTCTTCCGCACCGTGTGGGGCAGTCCCGAGCTGGCGAGCCACAAGATCACCGAGACTGTGCCAGGTGCGCAGTACACTACTGACAAGGCAATCTTCGACGCTCTCTATGCGCAGAAGATGCTGTCGCCTACTCTTGTTCACCCCTCGGGCTCTTGCGCCATGATGGCGGAGAAGGACGGTGGTTGTGTCAATGACAAGCTGATGGTGTATGGAACACAGCATCTGTCTATTGTCGACGCGTCCATTATTCCCATCATCCCGTCCTGCCATCTCCAGGCTACCATGTACGGCATCGGCGAGAGGGCTGCGGATATCATCAAGGCGAGGCAGAGGGGGCACTAATAGATTACTAATGGATTGAGGGGGCATATTTCTTGTACATACTTAGGCTTTATTTACCCAGTTTCTCGTTGGACCGGATGCTGCGTCTTGTGTTTGTGATGTGATTGAAGGATGCCAACCGTAAGCCGGTGTTCTAGGGGACCCTGCTTGTGAAAAGGTTGCGACAGGTTCATGTTTGGGATAATCCCAAGTTTGGAACTCATGTAGGTGATGACAACCATAAGCGTGAGCCCTGGTATGCGGGTTGATCAGCACCAACTGGATATCCGTCGGATGTATCCGCCGCTCGTCTGATGGACAGACGTAGCGAGCCGCAGCGTTCGTCAGACAAAAAGGTCCGTTTACCACGTTGTTGTGAGACTCAAACTTCATCACGGCATGCGCTGCCGCTGGGCGCACGGTGGCGTTTACTTACGGCTGCTCGCGTGCGAACCCCCCACTACTGGTGCCCCTCCATCCGTGGTTGCGTCACCGCGCCCATTGCTCAAAGTAAAAAAAGTTAAAAAGAAAAAAGCAAGTACTATAGACTTTGCGCCGCAAGCCACCCGCACGTCGCCATCATGAAGCTGCTCAAGAGCCAGATTGAGCAAAAGACGGGCGCCGGCTTTGCGACGCTGCTGCCCGAAGAGCCCGAGGATATGTGGCACGCCTTCAACCTCATCCAAGAGCACGACCAGATCCGCGCAAAAGCCGTGCGCCGCGTCTCCAAGACATCCGAAGCCGGCTCGACGTCGTCGCAGCGCATCACCCTCGATCTCACAATCACAGTCACGGCGACAGACTTCGACATTGGCTCCGAGCAGCTGCACGTGTCCGGGCGCGTGGCAAAGGAGAACGAGCACGTCAAGCTGGGCCAGCACCACACGCTTGATCTGGAACTCAACCGCAAATTCACGCTGGAAAAGGCTGATGGCTGGGACAGCGTTGCGCTCGAGCAGCTCAAAGAGGCTTGCGACGCCTCGAAGCGCGCGGAGCTCTGGGCTGTCGTGCTGGGCGAGGGCACCGCCAATATCTGCATGATCACCGAGCACCAGACGATTCTGCGGCAGAAGATCGAGGTGCCTGTGCCTCGCAAGCGCAAGGGCGGCGTCGATGGCCATGCAAAAGGCATGGAGCGCTTCTTCGCCACGACTCTGTCCACGCTGCTCCGCCAAATCGACCCCCCAAGCACATCTTCCAGCACCAACGGCGGCAAAACACTACCCCTCTTACTCGCCAGCCCAGGCTTCATCGCTGCAGCCTTCCTCCAATACATCAAAGACGAAGCCATCCGCACAACCAACAAACCGCTGCTCTCCCTCCTCCCCTCCATCATCATCGCACACTCGTCCTCGCCACACATCCACTCACTCCACGAAGTCCTCTCCTCCCCCGCCATGACGTCCAAACTCTCCGACACGAAATTCGCACGCGAAACCGCCCTCATGGACAAATTCCACGCCCTCATGCGCCTCGACGACGGCCGCGCGTGGTACGGCCCCCGCGAAGTCGAGCGCGCCGTCGCAAAAGGCGCTGTCGGCCGTGGCGGCGGCGTCCTGCTCATCAACAACGTGTTGTTCCGCGCACACAACGTTGCCGAGCGGCGCCGCTGGGTCCGCCTCGTCGACCAGGTGCGCGACGTCGAGGGCGGCGAGGTGCGCGTGCTGAGCTCGCTGCATGAGAGCGGCAAGAGGCTTGAAGGACTCGGTAATATCGCGGCTATACTTACGTATCCGCTTGAAGACCTGGATGACGAGGCGGGTGCCGATGACGGTGGTGTGGGCGGTGAGGAGCGCGAGATGGTGATTTAGTGTGGAGTGTGCTTTTGGCGTGATGGAAGAGGAAGAGGAAGAGGGAGACTTGGGTAAAACTAAGACACAAAGAGAGAGAGAAAGAGGAAGAAAAAAGAAGAAAAAACTTCTTAAGAGTAATATACCCCCCGTATCGCATTCCGCGTACACCATACCAGATACACATCTTACGAAATCACCGTTTTTTTTTCATTATACTTGTGCAGCAAACAAGCAGGAAAACGCAATTGTAAAAAAAATAAGATAAGATAAGTAGCGTGAGACTTGATGCTTTATCACTCCGACCCAACTACATACTTACGTAGCTAAATAGCTCGCCCACATACCACATCCCTTCCTTATCTTACTGTTTTTTTTCTTCTTCTCTAACATGCCGTATATGTAAAAAACTCCCCTATATTTAGCTAATTGCCTTTATCACTTACTCGTTCATGTATTCTTATATCCATGTGTAAGGGGCTCGACCCCGGAGGGTAGTCTTAAGCTCGGGAGCACGATCAAACAGGCCAAGGTAACAAGATTGTATTCGATAGAGAGCTAAGCTCTCGGCTACGTAGCTATCTATATACAATGCTGGTTGCTAGGGTAACAATCGGGCCGGGCAGGTGGAGTAAACGAGGTCGTAGACGAGTATGGGAGGCGAAGGGCGTTTAGCCCGTTACACCATGCATTCGCTTACCCACTACCCACCTCGCTACCTGTGTGAATTCTATAACCCGACTTCCTTTCTTTACTCACTTTTACTTTACTCTACTTTATTTTCTTCCTACCCGCATTCTTAAACCTATTTATCCTTTCCCCTCTTTTTTTTCCATCTCTCTCACTCAGAGCCATCTATCTATCTGTCTATCCTGTTGACTTTTGCCTCGAACAATATACTGTGGCGAAATGAATAGGAGTACATCTATATGTATACATATGTTTGCATACATGCATGCATATACATATGTATAGAGTACTAGATTGTTTATATTTATATACTAACTTGCTCCACTAGCAACGAATCAACAGACCAAGTAACTAACTATTTCAAAGAGGAAGGAGGGATAAGAAAAAAACAGGGATTGAGGGGATGCTTTATGTATGTATGTATGTATGTATGTATGTATGTATGTATGTATGTATGTATGTATGTATGTATGTATATGTAGGGCGTTATAGCTGTGTAACAAACAGACTACCTATATAACTAACTAACTAACTAACTAACTACTTACCTAGTCACCTAACTATCTAACGCTAAAAAAAACAGATGCTAATACCAACACAAACGCTAATGCTATATCTACATCTATACTAAAAGTATAACCCACCACAACAACAACGAGGCCGAGAAAAAAAAAAAAAAAAAGGGGGGGGGGCACAAACATACAGATTCTTAACGAATTGCTCACGTACTTGGTTTACTTTAGATGCGTAATACTAGCCGTTTGTTTCCGCGTGCTAAAAAAAAGAAAAAGAAGAAGAAAAAACGATGATGCAAAATGAAGTCGCAAGGGAAAAAGCGACTACTTACTCATTATCATCATCATCATCATCATTATCATCATTATTGTTATTGTTATTATTTGCATTCATTCATCATGGGTGAAACAAGTGGAAAAGCTGCTCGAGGGAAAACAACAACAACAACAACAACAACTACAACAAAAAAAAGCACAGACGAAGAAGAGGGGAGGGGGGGGAGGAAAGTAAGAAGGAGTGAAATGAAGAAAAAAAAAGATGTATGTATATATATATGTATATGAAAAACAAAACAAAAAGATATCATAATCGGTATAAAAAGATGCTTCGCACAAAAGCATGATGGCGCTGTCTGCCTGCCTGCCTGCCTGCCTGCCTGCCTGCCTGCTTGCCTGCTTGCCTGCTTGCCCTACTGTAGCGCATTCAAAGACCTACTGGGGAAAAAAAAAGAAGAAGAGGAAGAAATTGAAAAAAAACCCCCCCTGCAAAAATCAGCAGCAGCAAAACCTCCCCAGAAGAAAAGTCATTAGCCTTTAATGCATTCATGAATGGTTTCCCCATTACCCCTTCCCGTCCGTCCGTCCGTTCGTTACGCGCCGCGCCTCGCGCCATTGGGCCATGCGTGTGGTATGTGTGTACGTGTGTCCCTAGTAAAAAAAAAAAAATCCCGATGCTGCTCTCCCAACTAAACCCGAGCAACAGAAAAGCGAAAAGAAGAAGAAGAAGAAGAAGAAGAAGAAAAAACCACAGGTCCCTCACCTCAACACCAACGCAAAAAAAAAAGACAAGACCACACAATGCGAAACAAGAACTCAACATGATGACCCACATATGTTTCACCGCTGCCCCGACACTCCTTTTTTTGACCCCGTACTGAACAAACCCAACGTGAAGGTATTGACAGACGTACAGACGTACGCGGCCTACTCATCGCGGTAAAACTTCTTGAAAATCAAATGCAAAAACAAATTGACATTGACACGGGCAATGCCCTCGCCCTTGCCACCATCACCAAACAAGTTCATAAACTGGTGATTGTCGAATTGCGCCTGGAGGAGGCCGTCGAGCGGGACTTCGGCAAAGGCACCGGGGATCATCATGGAGCCCTGCGAGCCCTGGATCTCAAAGATACCCGTTTGGTTGCTGGAAATGGTAATGTCGAGGCGGTCCCATTGGCGCTCATGGTAGCCAGACCATGAGATGAGGATGCCCTTTTCGGCCAGGTTGCGAGCAGAGTACTTGAAGGAGCCAAAGCGGTATTCGCGACCGCTGTTCTTGAGTTCACGCTGGTGGTTGTATTGGCGGGTGAAGGGGAGGAGGAACTTCTTCTTGCCCTTTTTGGATTGCAGCGTCACCATGGCCTGCTCAATGTAGTCGTTGTAGGACTTGAGCTGCGACTCCAAAAAGTGCGCTTTCTCGTCGAGCGCAGCCAGTGTAGTGCGCACACCTTCCAGTTCCTTGGCGCGCTGAATACGTCTTCGGTGTTTGGTACGGATGTCGACTGCAATGGCGTTGAGGAGATCCTGGTAGTTGTTGGTGTGGGTGATGCGGCCTGCGCGCTGAAGCTGGACCATGTTTTCCAGGCAGTATTGCTTGAGTGTGGTGTAGTCGAGATCAAGCACCGAGTTGGCGCTCATGTCGGTTGTGTAGGTCGAAGCAGCCGAAGAGCGCACCACATTGTTCTGTCTCCGGGAACGGTCTTTCCGTTGCGCAATGATTTCTTCGCTGACAAGCGCGTCCCATCGGTCCTCATCCTCACGCGTGACAGGCTTGCACATGATCTCTGTGAGGTTGGCGCCGGTCTGTACGCGGATGATGTAGAGTACGTAGCGCTTGGTCTCCATGAAGAGAGATTTGATCGCAGCATCGGGGTCTGGAATGTTAGAAAGTATCTTGCCATGTGGGAGGGGAACTTACCTTCTTGTTCATGGTATTTGGGGTTGAGAGTCAGGGTAATTTCGCTAGAGCTGACATGCAACAACTCATTTTCGTTGTTCTTTGCGCTGCCGAGCTCACGGACAACTTCACGAAGCGGGTCATCTTGCGCCGGGCAGAGACTGGGAAGGTCGTCAATGACGAGGTTGTGGATTGCGAATACATCGGCAAGCTTGATGTAGAGCGTGGGCTTCGTCCTTGCGAAGAGGTCGTTGAACTCGTCAATCTCGAATTGAGCTTCAGCAGGACGGACGTTGATCATGTTGGACCAGATGTCTTGCAAGCGGTCGATAGCTTCAGTCATGTAGCTGTTGAGGGGCTGGAGGTAAAGGTCGTCACCACCAAACAGTTTGCCCACGGCTATCTGACCAAGCACCTTGGCAACAGCACCAAGGTTTCGGTTCATGATGGGTGACAAGCCGCGGTCAACTACACCCCAGTGCTGAGGCTGTAACAAAGCAGGCTGAATGTAACTCTTCCACACCCAGTGACCGGCAATCTGAAGAAGCTGCTCTTGCGGCTCGTAAGGGAACTTTAGACGAAGCTCCTCGAACATTTGCTGTGCGATAAACCGTACACCGTACGGCATGCGATGTAGGACCTCCTCAAACATGGTAAAGTACTGGTCGGCGACATCTCGAAGATCTTGCAGGTTGTGAATAAAGGTACCGCGCGTCTCGGGATCCTTCAAGGCCACGTCTCGCGAGACATTCGGGTCACGATGACTTCGTTGCCCGGTACGTAGCTCTTCATTGTTGATTGCTGAGCGGTAGATTTGCATGGGATCGCTCTCCAGATCCAGGTGCTCGTTCTCGATGATGTTCTCGCGGATGACTGTGCCCAAAACCTCCTTCAACCATTTGCGGTCACGAGGCGATCGGACATAGTTGGCGAACAGCTTGGTCCAGAAGAAGTTGCCGCGGAGGTAATCATGGAGTGAACCACAGGCCTCAATCTCCTCCTTCAACGATCGTGTCAAGAGCTTCAGCAGCCAGTACTCTTCCCTACGCTTCTGGGCGAGTCCAAAGAGACTCATTGAGAGCTGCTCGATGCGCTTAGTATCATTTTCGGCCAGGTTCTGTTCTCGGATGCGCCTGAAAAGTCGGGCCATGTACTGGGGCTGAGTCTGCAGAACGAAGAAGAGTTCCTGGTACTGCTCAAGCTTTCGGCGCGAGTTCTTGTTGAGGGCCTTGAGATCGAAGGGGTCTTTGGATGAGATGTCTTTGCTGCTAAGAAGAGTTCCGACATTGCCTCCATAGTGCTTCTGGTGCTTGACGACCTCGTCGAGGGTGATCTTGTTCTTGACGAGCAGAGCAATTTTAATGTCCAGTTGATCGACATATTGCTCTGCGAGTTCGTTTTGCCGTACATGCTGAACGACCGTTTTTCGCAGACGCTCAAACTCTGCCATTGCGTTAGTATTTGGCTACCCGAGTGTATTGCATATCTTACCAATCTCTTCGTCAAAGTCGATATCATTGTCGTTGAGGAGGTGTACAAAGTTCTTGACAGTCGACACTGGGGGGTTGGTGCCGCTAGTCAAACTCTTGTACGCTTCGCCCTGCTGACGACCACGGATGAAGCTCTGCACCTTGATGACCTTTTCCATGTTCTCCCTGTAAAACTGCTGCTTCTCTGCGAACCGCCGTCGAACGAGTACACCACGAGCCATTCCCTGCAGGTCCATTATGGCCTCTTCGTGCTCTTCAGCCTGACCGAGCTGCAGACCAATTTGCATGCGCAGCAGCATGCCACGGGCTACGGCCTGGAGGTCGACAATCTCAGGCTCTTGAGCATTGAGCTCACACAGGGTTTCATATGTTCGCTGGCGTTGCATGAAGCCACGGCAGGCTGATTGCAGGTCGAGAACGGCGGGTTCTTGGGCGTGGAGAGCTTGGAGATCGGAGAAGTGCCTGTGCCGTGAAAGAAAACCACGAACGAGCGACTCAAACGACAGAATGTTGCTTTCTTCGCTTTGCAATCGCTCAAGGATATCAGCGACTTCGGAACGCACTTGTCCAGCGCGAGCTACCGACTGCAGATCGACTATTTGAGGCTGCTCCGCTTCGAGTGCTTCCTGGATCTGCTTGACGGAATCTCTCGTGGCATTGGCACGAACACGTGACTGCAGTCTAGACCAGTCGACATTGGTACTTGTGAGATTCTCCTGTACTGCAGCATTTTTGCTTCTAGCAAGGAGACCTCGCATGGCAGACTGCAAGAAGGTGATTGTTGATTCCTGCTGGCGGAGACCTTCCTGATCGGTGCGCATTGACTTGCGGACAAGCAGGGCGCGTGCAGCGGCTTGAAGCTGGGCAATTTGGGGCTCAGTTTCTTGCCAGGTTGCACTTTCTTGATTGACCTTGGAGCGGGCAAGCATGGCTCGTGCAACAGCCTGAAGTTGAACAATCTGAGGTTCATATTGTTGCAGCGCCCCCCATTCTCGGCCAGCGCCTGCTCGAGCCAGCATAGCCCTTGCAGCAGCTTGAAGCTGGACAATCTGAGGTTCGTTCTGTTGCAGAGCTGCCCACTCTTGGTCTACCCTGGCTCGAGCAAGCATAGCCCGTGCAGCGGCCTGAAGCTGGACAACCTGAGGTTCGTTTTGTTGCAAAGCTGCCCACTCTTGGTCTACCCTGGCTCGGACGAGGGCACCACGGATCATAGCTTGCACGTCAACAACACACGGCTCAGTGTCGCGGGTCTTTTCGTATCGTTCAGAGACACGTAGTCGTTCGAGTGCTCCGCGAATCGCGGCTTGGAATTCGCGGATGCCATGTTCGTGACGCTGGATTTTTGACTTTGTATATTGGACTTGAGCCCTGGCCTTGCGTCCGCGGAAGAGGTTTTGTATCTTGAGCACTTGGGGAGCCTTGGCTTGCCAGTATTGTTCTTCGCCCTGTATTCTTGAGCGAACCAAGAATCCTCTTGCAGCACTCTGTAGGGTCATGGCGAACCGGCGCATGTCCAGTCGGTAGGTGGCGATTTGGCGAGCCCAGTCTGCTCTGACGCGCGCCTGGAGATCCACGATAAGGTGCTCCTGGTCCCAGAGCTCCTGCATCAACATGCCTAGGCGTATCCGAACTAGGGCACCCCGGATTTGAGCCTGCAGGTCCAGGATGATGTTCTCGTTCTCGGCTAGCTCGCGGTCGATGCGCTCTTCCTCCGACTCGACCGGCTCCGGCTCCGGTTCCGGCTCGACCTGGAAGTTTGCATGCATTCCTGAAAAGTTGGGCATACTGACACCCGACTTGTCTAGGCCTTTTTGCGTTGCCTCGAGTTCGTGATCTTCGAACTGAAGTTTTCCGACCAAGTTTCCAATGCGAAAGTCTACTATGCCTTTGCGAAATAGCAACCACGAGAGGGCGTGGATACAGTAGATGACCTTGGGGATGTTCTTCTTTTCGTAGAGATCGATGAGTTCAAAGCGAAACAGATCCGGGAGCTCAATCTCGGACAAGAACCGGAAAAAATGTGCATAGTTGTTCGAGTGTCGATACTGTAGTTTCGGATCGCGGAAGATGCGCACTGGTTGTCCTTTGATCGCCTGTACGATTTCTGCCAGCGTTACACCGTCCCGAAGCGCTTCTTCCAGTTCTACAACAGGTGGCAGGTCGGTCTCGATGATGTCCTCCATCCATTCTTTGGCCTCTCCAATATGACAAAGGTATTCGTATGCCTGCAAGAACTGGCGCTGCTGATCCATCCAGTTCCGACTTGACCAACTCGATGCCGCCTTTTGCCGCGCCGAATCAGTGCGCTGTAGTCTTCTCCTTCCGTTCAGACCCACTACCTGCTGCTCCGGAGACTTGATGGCAAAGTCTTCATCGTTGCCCGACTCTGCGAACTTGGAGAGGGTCCGCAAATGACGTGTTGACGATTTCTGGAAACTCTTAAGTTCCGGGCGTTCCAGGTGCATGGATAGCGGTCGGTTTGAATGGTCGCGGGTCGGCGCGCGCACAGAGTCATTTCGCGATATGGCCAGGGAAAGCGGGCGTGGTTTCCCGGTTGGGGAGAGGGATCCATCGAATGGGGCGTAGCTGTTTTCGACACTGTGCGAGCGCAAATGGCTGTTGCTCCGAGTTGGACTGGCACTGGCAGGCCGCAGGAACTTATCGGGGGACGGCGGGTTCGACGATGTGCTTGGTCGCAGGATCTTTTCAGGCGACGAGGGATTCGACGGGGTGACGGGCCGCAGCGACTTTTCGGGCGAGGGAGGGTTGGGAAATGTGGTTGATCGGGCGAGTTTTTCGGGCGAGGGCGGATTGGACGGTGTCACGGGACGCAATGGCTTTTCGAGCGGGGGAGGGTTCGAAAAGGTGGAATGGCGGGTCAACTTTTCGGGCTCGGGCGGGTTGGCAGGTGCTTGCTGCAGCGGGCGTAGCGCCTTGCGCATACTCGAATATGTATCGCCGGGGTCGGGCTCTGCCGATGCAAAGTAGTCGTCTGTCGATGGCGGCCTCAAGAGGGCGGCGGCCTCGCTCAGGCCACGGCGATGGCCCATGGAGGCATATGGGGCGGGGGCATTGCCCGACGGTGTGCTGGAGCGGGCGGGGGCATTTTGGGCGGAGCGGTTTGAAGACGTCGAGGCCGTCGATGTCTGGCGAAGCGGCGAGGGCGCTGTGGAGGTGTGGCCCAGTCGTGTGCGCGGGGTATTGAGGTAGCTCATGGCGACGAGGGCAGCGGGCGGTGGTGCGCCGGGGCCTGGGCGAGAGCCAGAGCGAGAGCCAGAGGCGAATGCAATGGAATTGGGAGAGTCGTCGGGGCGCGGGCGAGGCTCAAGAGGCCGTCATGGAGGCGGGCGGTGATTGGCAGAGACGGATGGGATGCGCCTGCCGAGCAAGCGAAAGGCGCAAACACGAGCAGAGAAGGGTGGCGGAGAGGCGTGCGACCCGGCGCGCAATCTGGCTCAGCACGGGCAAGAAGGGTGTGCTATGTCGAGGGCGAGAGGGCAGATGTGCACGAGAATGCGGCTATGGTGGAGGGAGGGCTCGTTAGCAGCGGTGGTAGGGCGTTGAGCGTGGAAATGGCCGTGTGGTCGAGTCCAAGCTCTTGGCCCATGTTTACTCGGCCTGCGAGGGTGCGCCGGGTGTGTTGTCGCGCCAACCGCTACACGGCGCTTGACGGGGCCACCCATGAACAGCACAAGACGTCTACAAGTACATGCCTCGACGCGCGTGACACGGTACGAGAGGCGAGGCCAGGCTTGTGCTTGCAGGGCGGGCGTTGGGCGGGCGTTGTTTTGCCGCAGCCCGCCACACCCGATGCGATGTACATTACTGTGTGTGTGTGCATACAATATGCTTTGCATCCATGTATGGGGATGCGCCCAGAGAACGGCACTGTTAGTCCAGCCACTGCAGGGCGGCCACAATCACCGACACTGATAGACAGGCACACTCGAGTCGACATGCGGGCGACACCGCTACTTACTTTACTTGGACCGCAGCGTCTTTGCACAGGCAGCCATGGCGTCCCGGCGCAGGCCTAGCGTCTCCTGCGCCATGTCGAGATAAATTCACACGGCGACGACGACGACAACCCCGACTCGGCCTCCTCCCAGTGCTCCTCGCCATGACCCAACCGCCGCGCCTCTTCCTCGGCCGCACCGAAAAATGTCTTCCTCCCGCGACGCGTCCGCTGCCATCGCCGCCAACACGCTAAAAGGCGGGGTCACCTGAACGCCCGCTCCGTCTTGGCGCGCCAGCCCACAGAAATTCTTTCCCTGGCGCCATCCTCTCCAAACTTTTTTTGCTCTTGGGAAAGCCCACCTTTCCCCGGCCAGTGTCTCTGCTCAGGCCTCGCCGTCTGCATTTCTTCAGCGATACGCCCCTTCCCACGCACACGGCTCGAGAAGCTCGCTGCTTTTTTTTTCCATCGCTACCATGCCCATCTCCAACGGCGACGCCATGACCAACAATGCAGTCGACGCCCTTGACTACACAAAGGCCCTCGAGGTGCTCCAGAACGAGTACCCCGAGCGCGACGGCATCGACGTCAAGTCGCTCATTGACTCGAAGAAGAACGGCGGCCTGACGTACAATGACTTCCTCATGCTGCCTGGCTACATTGGTGCGTTTTGCCTGCTATTCTGATTTTGCCTTCCCCGCCTGGCCATTTTCAGCGCACACAGGGCGCGGGCATTGGCTGCGCAATTTGCCTTTGTCTACAGCATACTTACACACTCGCAGGCTTCCCTGCCGCCGATGTTGCCCTCGACACCCCCATTACGAAGCGCATTTCGCTCAAGACGCCCTTTGTCTCGTCGCCCATGGACACGGTCACCGAGCACAACATGGCCATTCACATTGCTCTCCTCGGAGGTCTTGGTGTGATCCACCACAACTGCTCTCAGGACGACCAGGCCGAGATGGTGCGCAAGGTCAAGCGCTTTGAGAACGGCTTCATCCTCGACCCAGTCGTCATTTCGCCCACCACCACCGTCGGCCAGGCAAAGGCTCTGAAGGAGAAGTGGGGATTCGGCGGTTTCCCTGTCACTGGTAAGCCTCTCCAAGTCTCCTCCCCCCCCGTTCGCATTATGATGATTACCTTTTCAATTTTAACTTTCGTTCATCCGCAACGATTCCGTCGTACTGTGGAGAAAACATGTCTGAAATGCGTGTACCTCATACTTCTTGCCAATGTTCAAAGGCGCATCCGCTGACAGCGATTACAGAGAACGGCACCCTGCGCTCCAAGCTCGTGGGTATCATCACTCCCCGCGATATTCAGTTCCACGACAAGCTCGACGACCCCGTCACTGCCGTCATGTCGACCGACCTCGTCACGGCCCGCCACGGTGTCGAGCTCAAGGAGGCCAACGACATCCTCAACAAGTCCAAGAAGGGCAAGCTCCCCATTGTCGATGAGAACTTCAACCTCATCGCTCTCTTGTCGCGCTCCGACTTGATGAAGAACCTCAACTTCCCTCTTGCCTCCAAGCTCCCACACTCCAAGCAGCTGATCGCCGCGGCTGCCATTGGCACTCGACCAGAGGACAAGATCCGTCTGCAGAAGCTCGTTGATGCTGGTCTTGACATTGTCATTCTCGACAGCAGCCAAGGTAACAGCTTGTACCAGATTGAGATGATCAAGTACATCAAGGAAAAGTACACGCAACTTGACGTCATTGCCGGCAACGTCGTCACCCGTGAGCAGGCCGCTGCTCTCATCGCCGCCGGTGCCGATGGTCTGCGAATTGGTATGGGCAGCGGAAGTGCCTGCATCACCCAGGAAGTCATGGCTGTTGGGCGTCCTCAGGCCACTTCCGTCTACAACGTCACGTCGTTTGCTCGACGCTTTGGCGTGCCTTGCATTGCCGATGGCGGCATCCAAAACGTCGGACACATTGTCAAGGGTCTCGCCATGGGCGCCTCAGCTGTCATGATGGGTGGTCTTCTGGCCGGTACCACCGAGTCTCCCGGAGAGTACTTTGTCAGCCGCGACGGCCAGCTTGTCAAGGCGTACCGCGGCATGGGTAGTATCGCCGCCATGGAGGACAAGAAGGCCGGTAATGGTGCCGAGGACTCCAAGGCCAGCAACGCTGGCACAGCGCGCTACTTCTCCGAGGGCGACCGCGTCCTGGTTGCTCAGGGTGTCTCTGGATCTGTCCAGGACCGTGGCTCCATCACCAAGTTTGTTCCCTACCTCATGGCTGGTGTCCAGCACTCGCTGCAGGACATTGGTGTCAAGAGCCTTAGCGAGCTCCACGAGGGTGTCAACAACGGCACCGTGAGGTTCGAGCTGCGCACTGCCAGCGCACAGGCCGAGGGTAACGTCCACGGACTGCACAGCTTCGACAAGAAGCTCTACTCTTAGGCAGTGGATGAGCAAAAGCGAGACAATGCATTGGGAGGGCGTTAGTGGGTGGTTGCCGGGCTACTTGGATTCCCTCATTATTAGACACGCGATACGCGAAAATGACTGTTTGTATTATGGAGCAATGGATAGGCCAAAAGCAATGATACCACGAACTCTGTTCATGTTTAACGCACAACCTCGTATCCTGCATCTGTTGAAGGGTGATGCTGCCAGATTTCTCCGCTCGACTCTTGGGGGACAGACGCCGCTTTTGGCTAACATGTACCTCGGCATCTCCCCCAGCGTCGACCATCACCAACCACACGTCGCGTATGATGGCACGCCAACCCTGTCCACTGAGTCCTCTGATGGCCAGATATGTTCACGCCACGCCCAGTCTTCTCGTGCAAACTTAGTCACCGACCCTTGCGCGTGAGAAACCCGGCACGGCCGGCTGAACGTCTACTTTCACTCCAACGCAAACCTCGACTCACGCTTGCATCAACAGCAATTCCACCTAACCATCTTTACCCGTGGAAGCGCAACATGTCGACACCAGCAGGCCAGCAGCCGCCCAGAAAGCCACTGGATAAGCCCGCGGTTCCCCGGCCAAGCGCCAGGTATGCAGTCCTCTGCGTCACAAACATCACCTGATCCATGCTAAACATCTAGTGTGCTCTTGATTTCCCCGACAAACCAGATTCTACTTCTCCATCGTGTCTCCAATGCCTCTACCTTTGCTTCTGCACATGTCTTTCCCGGTGGTGCGCTTTCAAAAACTCATGACGGCGAGATACCCTACCCAGATGAACCTGGCAGGCATCAGGATGGGCCGGCGTATCGCATGGCAGCCATACGCGAGACTTTTGAGGAATGCGGAATCCTACTGGCCAAGAGCAAAAAGACGGGCAAATTGTTCACCAAGATCAGCGACCAAGAAAGAGAGCAGGGAAGGAAAGACGTCCATAGTGGCAAGATCAAGTTTGGCGACTTGCTCGAGAAATGGGACGCTGTACCGGACACGGAATCGCTGGTTCCCTTTACCCGCTGGGTGACGCCCATGGACACGGTTAGGTCCCCTGGGAGACGCTTCACGACGCAAATGTATCTCTACTTTTTGCCTCTTGGATCTGTCTCGCCAACCAAGCACGCCGCTCAGCACGCACCGGCATCCGCGGATTTGGAAGGAGACGCGATTATGATTCCGAAGCCGACGCACGATGGAGGCATCGAACATACAGCAGCACGCTTCCTGCCCCCGAACAAGTGGCTAGATCTTGCGCGGCAGAACAAGATCCTTTTGGTGTTTCCGCAATTCTTCCTCATGTCCCTCATTTCCCCCTATCTAGCTGCAACCGTAACATCCGCATCGTCGCCTACTCCTTCGCCATCCGAGCTGCAGGCCGAGCGCGATGCGTTTTTCGAGTTCCTGCAAAAACCTCGCATGTACAACGGCAAGCCCGAGCCGTCATTCGCAGAGGCCTGTATTTCGCCTGTCGTTATAGACAAAGGCCTCGTTGAGAAAAGCAAGCTCGATGCCATTGGCGGCGTGGCTAAGAACACCATTGTGCTAACCATGGACCACCCGGGGAAAGAAGTCGAGGAGCAAGGATACGGGAGAAGAGGCATCAGGGAATGGGTCATGACAGGCAAACTTACAAACGAGGGGCCGACCGAAGTGAATATCTGGAGAAGAGATGAGTTGCTGGGCAACAGGATACAAGAGAAGCTCTAGTATTTCCCAGGATTACATGTACGTATTGGCTTGCAGATAGGATATACTCACGTAACCAATAGATTGCGTTTGCAATGATGGAAATGCAGTTGTGTTCTATCTGCATCGCTTACTTATCCGCACTGTCATACATACTGATATCCTATGCCTCATCCAGGTATTTCCCGGTCTATCTGGGATATCGTATCCCAAGTCTTATATAGTGCACTAAGCATATATCACTGCACGAAAACAGATGGGTCAACGCCGACATGGATAATGGCTGCATTGACATGGCTCCCGCTCGAAAACACTTGCAGCAGGATGCTAGAAAGACACGCCATGCAGTGAGCCTGTCTCCGCCGCCCCCCCCCTTTTCCGTTCTATCTAGCATTCATGAATGGAAGAATATTTGCTCTTGAACCAGAAGTTTGTAATCCTCTCCCGGACTCGGAGACCATGATATCTATATCCGCCCCTCTCTCACACACACTCACACTCACTCTCTCTCACACACACACACACACACACACACCGTGCGCCCAAAACGCATCTTCACAATCCGCAACAAAAAAACACCCAGCTACCCAGCCAGCACCAAACATTGTATTTGATTCCAGCTTTGAAGTCACGAGGGGCGTCGCCGTCGCTTACATAAGTATCTAGACCAGCAACGGCAACGGCACCGGCACCAGCGCTATCAGTCTTGCTTTTCTGCGAAGCTTGCAAATGAGATTGAGTGGAGAAGAGAATTGGGTTGGCTGTTTGTATATATATATATACACATATATATATATATATATATATATAGCATGTGTGGAGGATGATCGGGATGTGCGATTACATGCTGTGTACGGCGGACGCGGCGCTTTGTGCACGCCACCTGGGCCGAGTACGTCAAGGCTCTGGATTCCATCGACGCCGATATCGATGCTGTGTCCGGCCTGCTCAAACCAATCGGCCTGTGTGGCTGGTGCATGTGGTGTTGACTCAAAGGAGGAGGAAATAGTGAATGAATGCCATACTATACGAATAGACAAGCCACAGCAGTCCACTTGACCAGCCTCACTTGAAAGAATACCTCTCCATCAGACGGCGCTTCTCATTCTCATTCTCCCGCTACTAGATCCACCTCCATCCTACAACTTGGCCTCGTCCCCAATCCGAAACACATACTTGACTCCACTCGCCTTGCCCTCCCTCAACCTCTTCAACCCCGTCTCCACACCCTCCAACCCCCCCGGCACAACCTCGTGCGGATGCGGTGTAAACCACGCGTCGGCCAAGCCCCTCGCCATGTATCTAAACGCCAAAAACGCAAAATCGGCATCCTCGCTATGCGCAGTCCCGACCATGGTCTGGCTCAGCTGGAACTTCCCGCCAAGCTCATCTGCGTTGTCGACGGGGAGAACCACAGTCATGTGTCCGTCCGGCTCAAGCACCTGCGCGATATTGGCCGTGGAATTGTGCTCGGCGATGGCGTCGTACGCGTAGTGTAATTTCGCACCGCCGAGTGCATCGCGGATGCCGTGGACGACGGCCGCATCACCTTGTCTGTAATCGACGATTGTATCGCCTTTGGCGCGGTCAATCAGCGATTCGACGTAGGAAGTAGCGCGCCCCGCGACCGCGATGATGGGATGGATATTGGTTTTCCGCGCGAGCTTGATGGCAAAGGCGCCGACGGCGGAGGCGCCGCCGTACACGACCAGCGGGGTTTTTGTGCCGTCGGGAAGCGGAGACCATGGCTCTGCGAGGCGCATGCGGCGGTTCAGCCCGATGGCGGCCGTCATGGCGGCCAGCGGGATGGTCGCGGCTTGCTCCAACGACACCTTCGCAGGGATATGGAATGTGCTGTGTTGCCAGCCGACCGCGTACTCTGCAAAACTGCCACCGGGCGTCATCATCTCGTGGAACGAGGCGACGCGGTCACCAGGCTTGAATTCATACACGTCAGCCCCGACGCTGTGCACGTATCCTGCTATATCGTCGCCGGTGTTGAAGTCGTTTTTCATGTTCCATTCTATGAGTTTCCTGGCCACATTGTCAAAAGAGTACTTACTTACTTGCATGTCCCGAGGAACCAGGTCTTCCCCTCCTTCATTGTTGAATCCAGCAAGGCTTCAATATACCACACAGACATCCGAAACAGAAAAGTGAGAAGATGAAATCCGATACAAAATGGAGTAAGAAAGAAAGAAAGAAAGAAAGAAAGAAAAACATACCAATCCTTAGGATTACTCCCACTCACCACCACGCGGATAACAAGCTGTTTGGGGCCCGGCTGCGGAATCTCAACATCCTTGATGTGCACCACGGTGCCCTTTGAAACCTGTGCCTCCTTCATTCTCGCCATATATGTGCTCTTTCTTGTCTAGTATCTTTCAAAATCCCGTTTTTATCTTTGGCGTGGAAATACTCACCCTTTCCAACCAAGGGGATAGATGGATGGGCTATCAAGGGACAAGCGGGCGTCAGACAACGTCATTATGTATATATAAATATACCTCTGATATATTACACCACACCACAGCTACCCCAGCATGTGCTTTCCCACCTGTTCCGCCCGCATCTAGTCCGCAACAGGCCACTTGCTTGCCGGACTGGGCCTCGATGACAAATGCACCATCTTCTCACAAGAGATCGAACAGTACTAGCCCAAATATAGCTAGAGAGTATTCAATTTCCTGTGGTGAGGAGATGAATGTGGGGTAACGGCTATGGTGGCAGTGGTGGCAGGTGGTAGGCAAAGTGGAGTCCCGGCGGGAACGTTGCAAGGCCATGATGTATGTCGACATCGGAAGGCTGCTGCCGAATGGCCGAAATTGGCCGAATGAGAGCACTATGACTTCAACTCAAATGCAGTACACCTGTACAACAAAAGCATGTCTTTGTAGAATATCCAGCATGATGCATTCGACGGAAGGAAACTCATCATGAAATCAAGAAAAATGTCATTACAAGAAACGATACACCACCATGTACGCCGAGAAGACTAGGATATCACAGTATCCCATTCATCGTAATGTAGTTAAAAAGACAATGAGCACATCACTGCCATAGGCAGGAAGATGATATCCAAACGCCGAGCCAACCAACCATCCAGTTCGTTGATGCTTCAAGACAAAAAATTTCATCCTAGAAACGACAGTTTGCGGGGGAAAGATCCGGAACGCCGGGACATCCGGAATCGACAGAATGAGGATAGGGTAGTAGAACAAGCGTATCGAAGAACCATCAAAACCCAAACATGCATCTCCATTTCTCCATTCTGGCCAGCAAGAAGAAACCAATTAACGCCAGGCGCTCTTAGAACCAGGCATCAGACTGCCTCTAGAAGAACCACTAGCAATCCGGACAGGCGCTCGCGAACCCAGGCTTGACGGTGCCTCCCGAGGTCGGTCGTCGCCATTGGCCACTGTCGTACGTCTTGCAGCAACCTTCATGATAGGCGTGACCCGTGGACTGAGTACGCTGTGCTTCCAGTCAACATCATGGTGCGACTTGACCATGCGACGGGCCGCACCTGCAGAGAGAAGCGAATTCTCGTTGGGCGGACTGCCAATGGTTGCTGCTGCTGGGCTGCGCCGTCGGTGAGCGCGGTTGAGTGGGTTGGATCCTGGGTTGATAGATGAACGGCGTCGAATTGCATGGCTAATCTTGCGCGCATCTGAGGCGGTCCACTTTTCTCCTTCTGAGCTCGAGTTGCCGCTATCGGCCTCTTGGGTAGAAGATGCATTCTGTACGTGGCTCAAGGCCGAGCTACGGGAGTTGTTGGCAATCTCCCGTAACGGCGAGTGGTTGTCCGAGTCTGAAGCGTATGTGTTGCTGATTCGTGAGTTAGGCGAACCATCAGAACGTTTTGACAGAGCACCAACTGCGAATCGCGACGAACCTTTCAAATCGACAGTCGACTTTGGCGGGGTAGGTATAGACGAAGGGCTACCTCCATCATATCTCGGTGTTGGCACATGCCCGGTGAATTTTGGTTGCGGCAAATCGAGTGAGGTGGTAGTGGGTGTGCTTTCAATGTGCTCTGGTGTCTTTTGGAATTCAGCAAGGGTGCCGTTCTCGGTATCGTCCCTCCAGCGGACTCCTCGTTTAATCTTTGCTGGGGACTTCTTCTTCATCGGGGAGAACTGTACGCCTTTCTTCACTGCGCCCATTAGCTTCTTTCGGCGTGGCGACGCCTTCGCAGGTGACGCAGTAAGGTGAGACGCATCAGCCAGCGCTGGCAAAGCTATCGGGCGCATTGGAGAGGGCTCCATGATATTGACAGGCTTCCTTCGCTTCGGTGTGCCCCTATGGCTTGGCTCAAAGAATTCTGTGACCAGCAAGCCACCATCTGGACGGATAGCCTGCGAAGTAGCGTTTGTGCAAGAGTTCATGATCTTGGTAAGCAGTTTGCGTGCTGCGGCCACCGCATCGGCCTCGTCCATTTGGGTGATTTGGCTTAGAATTGCAACAGTCTCGATATGCGCCTGGACAAGCACCTGGACAACGGCCGCGTCCCCGCCTCGTTCCATGTCAAGCAGGGCAGTGAGGATTTCGCGGTCGGCATTCGATTTGAGCAATTCAAATTCTCTTGTGAGATTGGCAGAATCGCGGCCATCAGCGTTGCCGTCCACCTCTGCCAGGGCCCTCATACCCACTTGGAAAGCAGTGTCCATTTTGCTTGTCCAGTTTGTACGTTCCAGCCGTCTGTGGCAGTGTTGTCGCGTTTGCTCGAGCTCTGCGGAGATTCCGACCGCGGTATCCCTCATTGCAGTGACTTGCGAAGGCATCTCTTCGTTTTCCCGAACATCCTTGATATTGTCGAATGCTGCGATCCAGGCAGAGATGAGCGAGATGCGCTTCTCGGCTTGCTTAAGTGTCTTGGACATGTTGAGTCGCTCTTTACGTTCAGGCTCAGAGTCGGAAAAGGCCTGGCGGAGACGTATAATGGCGTCTCGCAGAATGCCGTCCTTCTTCTCGCTCTGTTTCTGGTATTTGATGAACGCACTGCCCTCGAAATCCTTCTGCTTCTTCATCAATTCCTCAATCAGGTGCCTCTGCTCGTCAATCTTGACAAGGTAGTCCTTTACGTGCCGGTTGACATTATATACGTTCTTTGTGACCTTGGTCTGGATGTTCTTTGCGCGGTTGGCGTAGCGCAGCGTGTTCTGAGTCTCATCGTAATGAGCGCTGGACGGACTGACGCAGACAATCATCACAGTTCGGCAGTTGCCTCCGAGAGAGAATTTGAGCAATCGGGTCAGCTTCGAGTTGCGGTACGGAATGTGGTTGCGTTTCCTAGGATCGCACAAGGCGTTGATGCAGCTTCCCAATGCAAGAAGAGATTTGTTAATATTGGCACCTTCAGTCAGACGCTCTCCGCGGTTTTTTGTAGCGCTTGCTCGCTCACTACCTGCCAAGTCAATGATACTGAGGGTAGCCATTGTGTGGGGCTCGTTGATGGAAGCATTGCGGTCTTTCGACGACACATTGATTTGAAGCACTGCGTGCGATCGGGACGAAGTTGCATTGGCTTCGGTAGGAGACATGGTTCGGTACTCGTTGCCGCGGACAATCATGTCCATGACTTCCTGAACCTGCGCGTTGTTAGTCTTGGACAAGCAACATGCTTTCAGTCCACCCACATTCTGAGGCCTGTGGCTTGACAGGCCGGCTACGGAGACGGCCTGGTTCGCATCCTCGCGCAGCATTAGCGCTTGTTTACTGCCCCCTTCGACCAACAGGTCGCGAATCGTCTCGTTGTAAATCTCCAAGTATGACAGCGTAATCTCGGTGGCCCTTTCGTCTTGCACCTCCTGGATCTTCTCAAAGAGCTCTTGCATGGTGAGGAAGATTATGCCGGGCTGTTGTGATGTTCCGCTATGCGCAAGTCAGTCCCCCTTTCCATCCAAACAGCGGTGTGCGACAACATACGTGATGGTATGTGTTTTTCCACAACCCGTGGCTCCATACGCAAAGACAGTGGCATTGTATCCCTCCAGCACACTGTCCAGCAGAGGCTTCGTTGTAGCTTCGTATACATCGCTCTGAGACACTGTGTCGTCGAAGACGCGGTCAAATGCAAATGTTTGGTCTTTTGATCGTTTGCCTTGGGGCCCGGTGGTTGAACGCCCAAACCGCGTGTAAGCGTTGTCTTCCGGGGGGTCGAATATCCTGACGTGGTGTTAACCTAGACATGTCTGACATGCTGTTGCTGGGCTGCCGTACAAGCACTTCTCGTCCATGACCTTGATTACGGGTCGGATGCCCTTGTGCAGCTTAGGAGCAGGCACTCCGGCCAGCGAGCCCTCGCCGAGGAAGAGTGTTTGGTCGTCATTTCTCGTGACTTGGGCTGCCTCTCGAATGGTAAAAGGGCGGACTCGTACGGTGACGGAGATGGAAGACGCGCCGGCGGCGGCCATGGTTGCACGCTGTAAAGGTTAGTAGTATCGGCAGCAGCACTGCGCGGCGTCGCAGATGGAGCAGAGGGCCGCGGGCAAAGAGAGGGGTGGTGTGGGCTGCTGGGCTCAATGACGGCGTTCTACTTTGGGAACTTCTGTTTGTCTGGCGCACGGGCTGCAGTAAACAGACCGGGATGTCGGAATGGGCAACCACGACCCTGGTGCCAAGACCGCTAGGGCCATCTCCACAGTTTCCGACGTGGCCGCCGGAGCATCCTCGACGCTGCCAACGCCCTGCCAACGCCCGCACGAGACGCCGTTATGCTTTTGGCGACAAATTTTACTGTCTGACTCTGCCCTGTCACGCTGCTCTCACCTCCTGCACCGTGTCTGCCGCCCCGGTCCGTTGCCTTGTTCCCCTGAGCCGCATAGCAACCAGCCTGGCCCGTTGCAAAGGGCTTGTTTTGATTTACAGTCATGCACACAGCAGCTCGACATCACAGCAAAACAGGCAAAGATGAGAGACGCGCATCTCATTGAAGCAGCTACAACTATCAACATAGAAGCAAACAAACCATCAAATCATCAAATCATCATCGCTGGCACATCTCCTCCAACGGAGCATGTCGACCCGCAGCCACCACGGCCCTCGGACGCTGATCCAACTAGTGCCATTCTGCGGCCTGCAGCCACCGCATCAGCCGTCTACTTGTTGCACTTCTGCCACTGAACGTACACAACTTGAGTGAACTTGAGATCAGTCGAGTCGGTTGTGAGGATACCAGTGGCCTTGGAGTTAGTGCTGGTCAGGCGGACCTGCGAGTTGATGTTGAGCATGCCTGTGGTGCCGCAAGGAGACCAGACGACCGACGTGCTGTCGGCCTCGTCGTGCTTGAGGTAGTCGCCGGTGACAGGACCCTCGAACGTATATTGGGTGCTAGACTGCACTAGGCGTTAGATGCGTGTACACTTATGTCCTGATCGCACTCACCTGAGCAGTTTGGCCGGAGAAGTAGTAAGTAGACTTGAGGGTGCCAGTGACGCCCTTTTCAATGTTAGAGTAGCCGCGATAGTCGGCAGACAGAATAGAGTATTGGAAGCCGCCGGGGTATTCAATGTCCACGTTCAGCTGGCAGTTCTTGCGTTGCTCGGTGACCGCAACGCTGGGGCCGATGGAAGCAATGTAGGAATCGAAGATGAGCGTCATGACAGTCCTGTCACTGCTGATCTGGGAGCTCACGGTTCCTTGCGGGCACCCAGTTCCTCCATAGCTGACGCCACGGATCTTGACCTGTGTTGTGTGAGTTTGCCGTCCTTGGGTTCCTCGTACATAGGAGAAAGCGTACCTGGCCTGGCGGGGGGGCCTCACCAAGCTCAACGGTGGGGAGAGCAGCAGCAAATGGAAGGAGAGCTACGAGCCACTTCATGTTGACTGGTGGAGATAGTCGGAAGATTCAAGATATTGATTGCTCAGTGTATAAGAGGAGAGCTTGAGAGGAAATGCTTGGTGATGATCATAGGGGCATGTCGGCCGGGTTTTATACCTCACCACCAGCCTGTTCTCGCTTCCACTAGGTGCTCCAGCCAGGACCGCGGCGACGGGAATCTTGACCAGTTCAGCTACAATCCGAATACGATAACAGTCGCCAAGTGCTGGTTGCAATATCGAGTACGGCTGAAGCGGCCGCTCGCCTCTTCCCATAGGTCCAAGACTACACAAACTGCTCAGGTGAGTGGGTGTATCGCTTGCCAAGATGGTAAGTGATGCCACTGTCACGGCTGGAGCTCGACTCTTCGCTTAGGACTAATATCTGGGGTACGCCATAACTTCCTTTTGACGGTACGTCCTACTCCAATGAGACATGCCCCTCTAGCCAAGACCCTCAGGCATACTACCTCGAGTCATCTAGGTCTAAAGGCGCCTTAGCACTGGGCCGGGCGGCTGTTCGCTACCACTATCCTGCGGAGCTGCAAACCATACAAATCTGACAGCCGGCGGCACGAGCTGGGCGCGTGTGCAACTTGCTCGCGTGGTTGAATGGAGTCGCTAGATGATGGATACGAGATTTGGCTTGCCATTGTCACAAAGCCCATTGCTTTTCACGCACCAGATGATGGATAGCGTACCGACTTCCTCTTGAGCCAGTGAGTCGCATCTTCGCTTCTGCCGTGCGACCGGAATCCTCGTGGCTAGGGCGGCGGATGCAGATTGAGGCAGAATTGAACCGAATATATTTCCCTGGGACACTGAGCCTAGAATAGAAACAAGGGGCCTGGATGCTGGGAAGAAGCATGCGGAGATTGCAGGGGAGACTGCATAGCGGTGGCAGCCTTGATGAATCAATTCTTCTGGCCATACCACGAGGAAAAATGCGCGGAGCTGACAGCCGGGCCTGCCTTCTGTGGTGGAGTGACTTGGAGCTGGCAAGACATAAGGAGGTTTGAGTGTCCCTGTCGCTGGTCTGAAGACAGGACAGAGAGCGGTCTTGGCGGGTAGATTAACCTTATATTAAAGCTTGTCGCTCCATCGCCGCTCGAGGCCCTGCCTCAATCAATCTTAGCGAACACGGTGCTCTCTGCAGGGCAAGGAAGCAGGTCTGGAGACATGTCCAAAAATAATTGCGGGCGGGTTAGTCACGACGCACGCTGGTGCCAGTGCATGCGGCAACGCGGCTGCACGCCACGACAATAGCTGCATCGTACGAGCTGAGGAACGACTACTGCCGGTTCAACAGCAGGATATGCAGCCAACGACAAGTGTACCGCCAAATATATTGGGTCTTGATTACCGAAACCATGGCAAACGTCGCAACCAGCAAGACAGGCCGAGTAGGTATGCGTGGTAAGGTTTTTAGAGTGTCAGACGGGAGATGGGGGTATCTCGTGAACACCCAATCACTGCCTAGGCCAGCTATAAAAGCAGCACGAGGACATGGGAGTCGTGCAGTATCTCCAAGGTGAGACATGCGGCAGCACCGGTCTGTCAGGAACCAGATTCGTTGACTATCGCAAGACCCGCCTAGAGGATGCAAGAATCCTGTGGCTTGAAGGATGGGTGTCCAGATCTCTCTTCTCCGGCCGAGGTACTACCCAACGGAATCCGAGGCGTTAGGTAATGCGAAGATGGTCTTGTCTGCTGTGAGCCTACCACGAGAAACTAGTGGGTAGCTCAGCTAGGCATCGTCAGAGTCGTAGAAGGTGCTGGGATTGGGTGACGAAAAAGCAATCAGCGCTTCGCCAGCTGGCCTGGAAGGGTGGTCCATGGCGACTAGGGTCCGGGTAAAGGTACCTGGCAAAGCCGAGTGGAATAGGCGGTGCTAAAGCCGCAATGTGCGGCAAAAATCAACAATGAGCCAGGCAGACTCAGGAAGGGCACATGCAGAAAGAAAGCCGCAAAGACAGGACGTGATGCTGGACAAACCTCGCCGGGGTAGGAGTAAGTAGAAGTAGAGTGGAGTAGGAGGAGGGAGCGCCAGATGGTGGCGTCTCGGATCGACAATCAACGAGCCTGCCCCGCCGCTCTAAGCCATAGTGTGGCTGAAGCACCCCTCCAGAGCTCGATTTGTCAGTCGCAGTGATGGCATCATCGCCGCGCTCCACGTCCCTTTTCCCAGCACCTTATTCCTCCTAATATCCAAGTTCCCCCCGCTGCTCTCGAATCCTCCCGCAGGACGCCCGCAACCCTGAAGTCTCTCGCCGTCACCCTCGTAATCCTCCTCTCCACCCTCTTTTCCATGTCCTTTCTGACCAGGCTCCTGCGCCCCTTCAGCTCAATGTCCAACGCGCCCGCGCAACCCATGACAGTGCCTTCGGGCGCGCACACGGCTACAGTCGCCGCAGGCTGCTTCTGGGGAGTCGAGCACATGTATCGCAAAGAGTACAAGGACAAGGGCCTGTACGATGCGCGCGTGGGCTATATCGGCGGCGACCTGGAGAACCCAGGCTACAGAGTGGTCTGCAGTGGACGAACAGGGCGTATGTAACCTCTTTTTTTTTCATAATCTACGGATTATGTGTTTGGAAGAGTCACCAAATCGTTTCCGTTTTGCGCCATCGACGGACGATTTCCAGCGTATTAGTATATCATCCGAAACGGGCATTGCACTAACATGCATGCGACGACGACAGACGCCGAAGCACTGCAAGTAGTCTACGACCCCACCAAAATCACGTACCGCTCTCTGCTAGAGTTCTTCTACAAAATGCACGACCCCACAACATCGAACCGCCAGGGCCCCGACGTAGGCACCCAGTACCGTTCAGCCATCTTCTACCACGACGCCGAGCAGGAAAAGATTGCGCGCGACGTGACAGACAAGGCAAACAAGCAGTGGTGGAAGGGCAGTATCACGACGGAGATTCTGCCCGCGGGAAAGTGGTGGGACGCCGAGGAGTACCACCAGTTGTATCTGGACAATAACCCTGGGGGCTACGAGTGTCCGAGTCACTTTCTGCGAAGTTTTCCGCCGCTCCAGGATTAAGAAGTGGATTGGAGGAAATTTGAATATGAAGGAGGGGACTGGTTAGAAATACGCTTTACAATATACACAAGAACATTCTATCACGCAGTGTCTTCGTGGGCTGTGATTGATTTCTTCATTCTTATTTTCATCATCATCGCGGCATTGCCACTAACCAACCCTTTCTTTCTTTCTTTCTTTCTTCAACGCCACACCCCTTGTACTCGGCAAGCTTGTCGATACTATACGGGCAATGCATCTACGAAGGCGGCAAAGCATCAAACGTGGTCGCAACCTCCTTCTCCCACGCCAAGCGATCCTTGCCGTAAATCTCCGCCCCAGGCTTAAAATCATTGATACCCTGCTCCAGCAATCCAGTCCTCAGGATGATTTTGTCGGGCCCCATGGCATCCTGCTGGTGGTAGACATGCGCAGTGCAGTTCTTGCAGTAGTACTATTTTATCCCAGAGTCAGCCATGTATTGGTTGGTTGTATGCTTGATTGATTGAGCGAGGGGGAGGGGGAATGGGAATGAGAGAGAAGGAGAGAGAAGGAGAGAGAGAAAGAGACATACACAGTGCACACCCTTGCCCGAATCACCCTTGTACGTGTACTTTCCCAGGGCATCTCCGCCCTTTGAAATCTTGAGTGCTGTCGTGGGAATGATTTGGTTGAGCGTGTAGGTGGCGCCAGACAGGGCTTTGCACGTGTTGCAGTGGCTGTGCATGTATTAGTCTCTTTACTTTACTTTACAGTCCTTCTTTTCGTTGTGCTGAATATCAGTACAGTAACGCGACAGGGGGTGCAGCGAGCAATACCGCAACAGCCAAACTGGCCAAGTAACTAACTGAGACTCACCAAAGAATATGCGCCTGCTGATCCGGCTGCAGCGTAGCCGTCCACTCGGTCTGCTTGCAATGGCACGATCCCTTGAACTCGGTCATGTTTGCGTGTTATAAAGCACCACTGCGAATCTTTTTTTTCCTAATCAAGCTAGATCAAACAAGTACACGGGCAGAGTGTAGGGGATGGAAGGATTGGTGTATGTATGTATGTATAGTGGCCAACAAGGTCCTCTGCGGGGGAGGGGAGGAAATTAACCTATATATACACGGTAAGTACGGCATTCTCTGTTGATTTCTAAAACCCTCACAATCTAGACCCTCCGTCTTCACTTGCAGCTCGTGCTGATATCATACAGTTTACGTACGGACTTGAACCCCGCCTCATCTTACGCGCCTCGCAGCAGCGCTGGCCCAGTCCAGTCCAGCCCATCCCATCCCATCCCCCTTCCCCTCTCCTCTGCCCCGCCCAATGCAGTCCTAGTCCCAGTCCCAGTCCCACATACACACTTACTTAGACTTACCTACATACTGGAACCTCACTCCCAGCGTATCAACAGCAGAACCGCGATACCCCCGACACCGGAAACCAGTCTTATTCGCATATGCAAGCCCGCCTTTTTTTTGGTTTGGAGGGGAGGGGGGGGGCCCTGGCTGCGCGTTACTTAGATGTTGCATAGCCGCTCCTACACACCACGCCATACCACACCACCTCACATCACATGGAAGCAAAGATGAGGATACACCTAGGTGTACACCTAGTATGCTAGAGTGTATATGGGCCGCCCCGCCACCGTGGACATCATAAGGACCCCTAGTATACTAGTAGTAACTAGCACCGTTGTTCCAACAAAACAGAAGGATCCCATCCAATCGTCGCTCGAACACGTTTTCACGCAGCAGCAGTCCAGCTGGCGAAGTGGGGTGGGGTGTGGAGTATTGGTACGGACGGGCCGTGAGCCAGCGATCGTCATGGTGTCCAGGGAGCGTGGGTGTGTGTGTGCATGGTGTTGAGCCTTGACTTGTGCGGTGCGGTGCCGGGAAACCCTTGGGAGCCGAATGGACCAATCTACTTAGTCGCAGTAGGGCTTCGTATACCCAAAGTGGCAGGATGACGAGAGAAAGATAAAAAAAAAAGAGAGACATGGAAGCGGATACAGTTACCGGATGCGGGCATACCGTTTCCTTGATTGCGGGACGACGACGAAAAAAAAAAATGAGGAACAGAGGTCCTGGTCATGCTGCTGCTGCTGCTGATAGCAATACACCTAGCGGTAGTATTAAGTAGCGGTAGCGGCAGTAGTAACGGTAAGTAGTATTAGCGGCAGTGGTAGTGGAAATGATGGCAGCGCCCCAGCCGGTGAAACAAGTCTACCGACTACTGATGCCGGTGCACGGAAGCCCAGCGCGGGGTCTGATTGTTGCTGCTCACGCTGCATGCGGGGGTGGGTGAGACTTTCAAATGGCGGCACCACTTCCACTTCCACTTGCACTTCCACAACCGTGTTTGCGCTACGTACAAGCGGGGTCCATCGAGTCGCATATGCGTGTGCTATCCCATGTAAGTAAATACGACAATGAGCCATGCGGAAGGGTTTCGGGCTGGGTTGTTTTTTCCAAATCATCAAAGTATGTAACGTATGTGGCAAGCGAGCGCCGCAGGTAAGCGAGCGCCGCACCCCACCAAACCTGCGCACCTCTCCTATCTCAACGAACAATGGCTCAACGTAGCGCTACTCAATTAGCTTTAAATGAAGCAGATATTCAGCTTGCTATTTCTTCTATTAATCTCCATTAAACACAAAGTAATCATCGCGCTGCTGCTGTCTACAACGTGTCTGAACGAACAATCCGCCGCCGACGCGCTGGTATACCTGCTCGACGCGATTGCCAGCCTAACTCAAAGAAGCTCACTAAGCTAGAAGAGGAGGTGATAGTTGATCATATACTTGATCTAGATCTACGTGGATTTGCGCCCACGTATGCTGCTGTGCGCGATATGGCTGATAGCTGCTGGCTGCGCGCGGCNCTGGCCAGGTTGGGCAGGAGCGGCAGCCAACTTGTCAAGCGTACAGA